AAAAAAAAAAAAAAAAGTTAATGACAAGTATGTTCATGGTCTAAGAAAAAAACAGAAATAAATACACACCCTCAAACTAATGAAAATAAATGAGAAAGAAAGCAGTTAGCTCAAGCCAGGTGAGACATTTCTGACCCACAAATGTATTTACTTTATTTGTAATATCTGGGTCTGATTGACTTACAAAATCATCCCACCCAGAGAGTTGCCAGTCTGGGTGGAAAGGCTGGAATTCTTTTCTGCAAATCAGAAAGCCTTTTTTATTACGTTTATGGCTCCCCTTGGCCATATTTCTGCCAGTAACTAAGACTTTTTTCTCCCCTTCAGTCTTATCACATCTAGTTCCTTTCATAATCTTATGTTTTAAGAGAAATCAAGGACAAAATGTGCAAATCCATGAGCCAAGAAAAACTTTCTGCCACTTTGAGATTTAACATCTCTATTATTTAGTCATTATTTACCATTATTATTAAGAGCAGAAATAAACTCTCCATAGGATTGTTCAATTCCTATGGGAATTTCTATCAGTATCTCAGGAAGGGGCCGGGGATTTAGCTCAGTGGTTCCGCTGCCTGCCTTGTAAGCAAAAGGTCCTGAGTTCGATCTCCAGTACCAAAAAAAAAAAAAGGAATGGAAAAACAAATACATTATTAAAAAAAAAATCTCAGGAAAATTTTTGTTTGAGACAGAGAAAGATATTTGTTTTTTTTTAATTCCTTTATTGGTACATTTTAGGTATGCAATATGTTTACATTTATCATTGGGTGCTTGTACCTGTACATGATGTATCTTGGTTCTTGTTTTCTTCCCCATTACCTGTGTGCCCTTCACCCCCCTCCACTCTTCCCTATTTACATAGATTTCATTTCCATTTTTTTTTCTTTTCTCATAATTTTTCCTTTCTCCTTCCCCTCCCACCACCCCTACACCTTTGGACCTTTTAATATTTCAAATTATCAATTATTCATCTTGATCATTGTAATCCTTATTTACACTTTGAATTTCTCACGCTAGAGAAACTATTCGATATTTACACGTGTGTCCTATTTATTTCACCTAAGAGTATGGCCTCAATATGCATCCATTTAGCTATAAATGACTCTAGTTTCTCATTCTTTATGGCTGAGTAGTACTCCATTTTATAAAAAACCCCACATCTTCTTTATCCAGTCTCCAGTTGATGGGCACTGGGGCTGTTTCCATCCTTAGCTATTACAAACTGTGCTGCTATGAACATGGATGCACATATATCACTGTGGTTGTAATACTCATCATCCCTCCCTACAAAATTAAAGTCAGGCAACATTTAAAATACATATTCCATTTCTGATCACTAATATGATTTGTTATGACTGATGTTGCAAAATATTAGCAAGAAAGAACTGTTAAAGAACCTGTTAAAATTATCCACTCATCTTTCACACAAACTAAAATGTTAGGAGTTAGGACATTTATCTTCAATGAGCCAAACATTTGAAAGTTAGGCCAGAGATGGCATGATCATGGATTCACGTAATGACAGTGACAACTTTCAAAGAAGCTTTTCCACCAGTCATAAAAATTGCTCTTGCAATATCAGCCTTTCGAGGAATTGGAGCTGTGTTGTTTTTTGTTTTTGTTTTTTGGTACTGGGGATCAAACTCGGGTACTTGTGCTTGCGCAGCAGGCGGTGAAGGAGCTGAGTTTTATTGATATTTCCTCAAATTTTAAGTGTAAGAAACTACTCTATAGCTAAGAGCACTTACTATTTTTAAAAGGCAATTATGTAACCCTAAGATTTTCCTGGTATCTGTAATATGTAGAAATAAGATGAGTACTCTGTTGAACATAACCATTGATAGTCCTGGATCAAAATCGTGAAGTAGTAGTGTCTAGGACAGTAGAGAGGTTGCTACTGGTCAGTTTATGTCTGTAACAGTCCTGTAATAGTCACAAATCCGGGTCCCTTTATTTGAAAAATATTTATTGGGCACTTACTATGTATCAGGCAGTGCTCTTGATTTTAAACAATATTTAAACATGGTTTCTTCAATTTTTGCTTCATATAGCCTTCTTCAAACAGTGAAGGATATATCTCAACATTACCCAATCTCCCCTCTCCTTCTGAATCAGGAATGCTTTGCCACTTGATTAATAATGGCTTAAATAGTATAACCTGCTCATGTATCAAAAAATCTGAAGAAAGGTGACGGTTAATATTTGTTCAGCAATTCAGCTACGGCTAGTATCAGCGTGATGGTTTTGTCCTTCCCAGGTGCTTACAAAATAACAACCACAGTACTATGATTCAAATGTGCCTGTATTCAAGACAGAATGTGGGGGTAAAGGAAAGCAAAGTTTTGCCCAGAAGTACCAATTAGCAAACTGCTCATTATTCTTCATTTTCCACAACTACATTATATGGCCATCCCTAGCTGCTAGAAGAGCTGGGGGAGAGAAACAAAACCTGGGTCTTGATACATTCCTCATCTGGATAGTAGTACAGTGGACCCTCAAATTATGACCAGACTGACATATGAACAACTTGGGTTAATTAGGTTACTGGAAGATTCATCTGCCTCTTGTTATCTATAGCATGTAACCAGGTAAGCATCCAGATCAACCAACTTGAGTTATGACCAGCCCTTGGGAACCGATTTAGTTTGTAAGTCAAGGGTCCACTGTACCAAGATTCTGACAACAAGAAAGGAGAGAATTGACATTGGTACCCAACAACAGCTTCCTAACCCCTCCCTCACCTGTTTTGTATACTTGAATATTATTTGACATCTGCATGTGACTTCATATTTTACAAAATACTTTTACTTGTTTTATCTTATTTCATCCACTCAATATAACATTGAGGAATCTTAGGCTCACATGTAAATAATTTTTTTTTTTGCTAATACAACAGATATCAAAGTTAAAACTTTGGTGTTTTGATTCTTGAACCAGTGTCTCACACTAACTTTAAAAAATAGTTCTCTGAAATTATTATCATACATAGAATAAGATATATTCTGTGTCTTATGCTTTTCTGTGTCTTCTTACATAGAGGAACATAAAGAGACTTCTGCTTTGGGGGCCGGGGATTTAGCTCAGTGGTTCCACTGCCTGCCT